CCATAATAACCCTTCGATGTTTATTTATATTTCTTAGCAATTTGCAAAACAGTTAAAATTGTATTATGAAATATTAAATTAGAGGTCGATAATGCTTAAGCTGCTGTAAATGTATCTCCCTGGCGATACTCTTCATTTTTTACTTATTTTTAATGTATGAAAACATTGCTTTAGCATCTTAATACAGCTGTGCCTTAAGGGCATTACGACGTTTTTATTGCTCGTTTTTAAATTCGCTTTCTTCTGCAATTCTTTCCTGCCAGTATATTGGGGTGCCAGTATATCTGGTGTCGTGGAACGCCCGTCATGGGAACCTAAAAATCTCTTGACAGGGCCCGGTTACGGATGGGCAAAGGTACCTCAGTACTTTGTCAGAGAACCTTGGTTTGCAAGACATTTTCTTTTCTATAATGGAAGGCATAGCGCCAAACTGGGGCAAGTTGCATTTTGTACAGTAGAATCTTGTTGGGCAGAGAAAGTTGGCTGTCAAAGTATTTGAATTTTTAATGAGCATTTCAAATTATTTAGCGATTTATCTCGATCAATGTAGTTTGTGTGTTATCTTGACGCAAAGTAAAGGATTTTGCTGTAATAACAACTTTAGTTTGGTGTTCCAAAGAATGGATAGAACTTCTCGAGACTCTGGAAAAGACTGTATAAATATTTTCTGCACCTGTCCGTTTGCATTATTTCTACAATTGGACAATTTGATTGTATACTAATGCGTTTGTTCTGCATGGTTAATGGGTATCAAAGAGTGCTTCCATTAAAATGTTCGCTGTGCTTTTATTTTTGTGGGCCGTGTCGCCTGCATCGGCAGACTTAACAGAAAAGACAACAACAACAGCTGCATGAACAACGCCAGCGAGTTGCAACAGAATATCCAGAGGGCATTTTAAAGTGTTTTATACATATAATTTTTGTTATTTGTTGGCAATTTAATTGGAATAGTTTTGACCAAGCAACAACATGCTGCAAGAGCCGCTCGAATGTGGCCCAACGGATGCAGCGGGTTGTGCCACAAAGGAGGGGGGGGGGGGGGGGGGGGGGGGGGTGGTTATAGACTATAAAAGCTATAGGTCTTCAAGTGCCGAGCTCGATAATAATTTCAATGACTTTGGCAACCTTGAAATGGCTCCCCTCTATATTTGTCACCCTTTTGTGCAAAAACATTCGCTTGAAGGCAAAGGCCAGACTCATGCTGGGCTCAGGCATCCTCGACGCGTCCATAAAAATCAGCCATTAAAATTGCAAAGGAACTGAAAAAAAAAACAAGTATAATTTCTCTAGTCGGCAGTGTTCAACTAGGAGTTGCCCTACATTGCATTCTTGATCAACTTCGGTTCGATCCTTTGAATATGTTCAGGATTTGGATATGCGAGTGCTTTTCAATTTGAAAGCAAGATGTGCAGAGTGTTTTGTATCTTCAAGTTATGCTTTAAAAACATATTTTTAAATAGATTTTTAACGATTTCATGGACATAGAGTGAGCATTTGTGGACGTCCACAATGGAAGCGTAAGGAGAACATATGCAGAGGAAGATATGACTAAATATGACTCGGCCCCCTTTTGCCTGTAACATACACTTCCACAAAACTATTATACCCATTTTTGGGGCGTTCAGGGTATTAACATCAAAAAAGGAATAAGCGAAAACATTTAAAATACAATCAGCCCTTTGAAGGCGGAACAGAGGGCGGCGTTTTATGGTCTTTTAGCATTTAATGGATGTTAGTCGTGCTTGTCCACGGCTCCTCCTCTTTGTCGACTGCGATGTGCCAATGAAGAAATCGCAAGGCAAAATATTACAGCAAATAAATGACGTCAAGGCATTAAAAGAAAGGTTTAATCTTATTATTTCTAATTTAAGGCAATAATTTATGAACTTGTTTTTTCAACTAGAATACAAAAATAAGTATTTTACTGTCATCGTAGAAACTAAGCTAAGATTCATGATTTTAAATGTACTTTTCAAATGTGCAAATGTATGTAACTGGCAGTAGAGAGCATCTCCGAACCCATAATGTATATATATTCCTGATCAGCATCAATAGCCGAGTCGATCTAGCCATGCTCAACCGATTGTGTGAACGTAAGGATCTTAGAACTTGGTGCCCGCGCAGTTCAAGAGTGTTTCAGATAAGCTCGATTTCTAAATCCTGTTTTTTGAGCAATTCTCTACTCGAACAGGTTACATATATATCAAATAGCTTTCATTTTATAATTTTTGTTTTTTTATCTAAACAATTTTTTTAAGTTTTGCTAATGCGTTTGAAGCGCGGTCTGCATTTGTTGTGGGTAGAAAAGGGTCCATGGTATCGCCTGGTCGAAAACTCCCGACTATATTACTTATTCTACTTCTATTTATGTTTGTGGCCGAAATCAGGTTCAACATTCGGGTTATAACTGCTTCATATTACTTCCTGTCGAATATCAAGAAATCGACTATTCGTGGAATGTTTCCTCGCCGTAAAGCAATTTTTATTAAAGATCGTCAGAAAAGAAGCTTTTCGCTTGTTCAAACTGTTAAGCTTTCTTATAAACTGGCAACATTGTATTGACAATATACTCACTCTGTAATTGAGTAGTTGATCGTTTTTGCACCCAAGCTTCAGTTTCTATAAAACATTTAATCAAAACTTGCATCAAAAGAGCGACGTTAACTTTGCGTAGATTTTTGGAAGCTGTAATTACTTACTAATAAGTGCATTTATTTATTTTTTTAAACACAAAACGTGAATTGTATAAAATTAAATTACTTCCTGTCTATATTCCTTTTTTTTTAATATCACCTTATAAGTTGGGTAAACTAAGGAGTTGAGAAGTTAGGGTTTTCCCGTTCTTTAAATAATCTAAATCAGGAATTTTCTCAGAGGTAATGGGAAAACGATTTGATCAGCCAGTTTTAAAAATATATAATTAAATGTGAGCACACCATATATTGTTCATTCAGAGGTCTTTCGAACTGAGTCACTGCTTAAAGTTGAAGAATTGAGCGGAATCAAAGTAAATTCGAATTATTTGTATATGTTAAAGAAAATAACACTGAAATAATTGGCCCTTTACAATATAACACACTTTCTGGCGAAATGTTATGCTGTCATATAAAGAAAAGAAAGTACTTCTCAAACCCCTGATAAATTTTGCCCTGAACCAGTTATTCTACTCAATCGCTTGCACGTTTGCATTACTATTCTTAACTCCACCATTCATTGTTTTCCACATCTTTGTTGTTTTCGTATACCTAATAGCCTAATTTCACTATTAATTTGTTTTCCATAACTGAATACATATTTCTGATTCGCAACATAATATTTACAGAAAATGTTGTGGTTCGCTCCGAGGAATTCGTATTTTGGCGAATTTTCGAATTTCATATCGAAGTTATGAAATATCTGATAGAATTATTACCCTAAACAGCTGATATGTCGACGATTTCTAAATTAAAATTTAAAGTATTTAAAGACTGGCAAATCTCAAAAAGAGTCCATCAAATCGAGCGCCTACCACGCCTATAAACGAATCAAACCTATCAACTGTTTATTTAATGAAGCGATATTTTTGAAATTCATATTTTACCGGAATCTGACACTTGCTAATGCGATTTGCAGAATGTGAAGCTTGAAAATGTAATGTAGTGGAATTAGACTATTAAGCTTATGATAACAAATGTTAGTCAAACCAACTTTTGCTCAGCGTTTTGCGTATTCCGTTTGTTTGTGCAGACTTTCGATCCAAAAAAAAGCTTCAGTGAAAATTTCGGGTTCGTTCTCTTCCGTGTCGTCGCTCAGTTAATTAGTTAGTCAGGGCAAATAATTAAAAATTGCGCTTTAAATTTAGTCTAAATGAGAAGTTTTTCAAAAGCAAACAAAATGAAGGTTTATCATTTAATACTTCAGTTTATTGTTGTTTTATATGTTTATTTTATGCACCTTGTTTCCATCGGTTGATTTTTCATTATTACGACCTAGTTTTATAATTTTTGTATATATGCAACTAGACGATTATAAATTTTGCCATAAATACATTTTATATATAATTTATTTTCGCATAAGTTGTGTCCGTTAAAAAATTCTATTTTAATTAATTTGGAAAACATGAAAAACTAAATTATGTTTAGATTGAAGTAAAATAAAGCGCGTTGCAAATATGTTTCTTTTTTTTTACTCTTACGTTTGTATATAAGTTATTTTCTGGGTAAACGGGTAATTTACAAACAAATCACTCGAAGTGTGTTTAATAGGGCTTATAAGGGCATTTAATATTGTATATCGTTTTTTTTTTGCTTTTAATTCCCTTTTTTTTTGTTATTTGCTGAATTAATTGTTTCTGGATTCTGTCGGGGCTGGTTTTAATTTATATAAACATTAAAATGTATGTATTGGATAATTTATTGCCCACAAAAAAAATTTAAATTTAAAGCGAACACATTGAATAATAATAAAATTAGTTTTTGTTGCAGGCTGTCATTTAATTCATTGATTTAAGCATTTGCATTAAACAATAAACATTTGATTTGCTTTATAATTGTGTTAATGTTTGCTTTGAATGCAATTGATGTTGAGCCATTGTTCAATACTTTAATTGTATGGATTTTGGTTTCTTGTTTTTGGTTTTTCATTTTTTTACTTGAAGTAAACAATACCACATTGTATTCTCTGCTTCTCTTTTATGTCTAGAGGGCTTTCATTTTTCACTAGTATTATTTACATGGTTCAACGCTAATATTTGATTTTTATATTTTCAAACTCTTGACTGTGCTCTCCAAATCGCCAATTTATTGACAAATTTATTTGAAAAGATAAATAATCTTTCGTTTTTTTCATTTTCTATTTTTGTATTAACTACTCTCGATGAATGGTAGAAAAAATTGTGTGCTACACTTAACGACAAGAATGACATATAGCTCACAGATGCACTATATTGTTATACATATATATGTGTGTATATATATTTATGCATATGCTTATAGTTCACAACAGATTTAATTAGTAAACACTAACATTGACTAACACTTTGACTTTATTTACAAGAGCTTAAGTTCTATAAATTTTAACTACATGTATGTAATCTTATGCTTAGCAATGCTTTAATATATTCAGATTTTCAGATTTTATTTTAATTTTGAATCGTTTTCTCTTAACCTATGAAAATGTTGCTTAAAACTAAACAGAGATTAGGTGCAGTCTAGTAATTAACGAGTTCTTTCGGCTCAATCCGAGAAGTTCTTCTCGTCGGAAAAGCGCACATGATGCTGCTGCTTCAACCGTAAGCCGGCAGCGTTGGCGGCAGAGCTGCGCTGTTTCAATGTCGCCATTTTAACAATACCGTTTCCATTTCCGTTTCCGTTGCCGTTCCTGTTGCGGCTGTTGCCGCTGTCACGGCCGCCACCAGCTTTGGCATTGGCACTTCTGGTCGTCAGCGTGGGCGATATGGTCGCCGATGTAGTCGTGGATGTGGGTGAGGATGAGTTCGTCCACTGTTCATCGCAGGAACAGTAGCCGCGTGCCACGTCGCCGCCCTCGAGCGCCAGAGCATGAATCTCCCGTTTGAACTTGAGTTTCTTCAGTTGCAGCGGCTGCTCATCGCCTGCTCCTCCATCCCTAGTCGTACAAACTGTTGTTTGGTGTATCGCATTGAGTTGGCTGTCATCGGGGTCGTTTAGTTTTTGTGCCTCTTTCAGCGCATAGAAGTCCTCAGGCGTTTCGGCACGCAATGTCTCTATTGACCTGCAAATGGCAAAATAAAAAGCAAAATTAGTTCTCAACTTCAAGATACCCTGCCAGCAGTATTCACAAAATTACACACAGATGACAATATGCGTCGACTGTGCTGGGATTCTTCTCCCTTTCGCAAGTTAGATGTGAGATGTGTTACATACATTTCCACAAAACTAATAAAGACGTTTAAGCTATTCACAAATTTAGGGTATACAAATGACCATCCCATCTAGATTTTTGCGCAGTCAAATAGGAAGCCCTTTAAGAGCACTCAAAAATTTGTTTGGCCCTCTGTACAAGTTAATTACGACCAAGCGAAATAAACAAAAAATAATATAAATATATATATATAATTATGATTGCAGCACGAGCAAAGAATTTTGATGACCCTTAACATCAAAGCTGCAGCTAATTAATTTTATTATTTAAAAATATGTTTAAGTATTTTTTGCACCCTTAAATAAAGTGTATTTGTGGAAAGCTAAGCGGCACATTTCAGTTAGTTTATTTCCTATTCTCTTTCAAATAAATAATAATATTAACTATTAAATTCTTCAATGAATTTTTATACAGATCTTAGAAAATAAGCCTAGAATTCGCCCAGCTAATTCTTGATTCCCATTTTTCACACGAAGGAGTGGATCTTGCGAAAACCATGAAGTTTCCCCGCTCCTGTCTGAGCGTCGGGATAACAAGGTGGTTTAAGTCCAGCGAAGATTTTTAATGTTTTTATTTATTTGTGATTTAGCTCGTCAATTGGTATCAAGAATATAAAAAGCGAATCTATTGAGCGCATAATAAACTTTTAGCTCGAAATCAGCTAAGTTATGAAAACATAAAAGAGGTACTAAATTGGCGCAACATTTCTCTTCTCGGATTTTAGTTGCAGATTTAACTGAGTGCATCGATGTTGGCTTTGTAGTTGCTGTTGTTGTCGTCGTTGTTGTTGTCGCTGGCTGCCTATCAAACTTTACGATCCATGTTTATGAACAAGTTGCCTTGGCAGCTGCCATTGCCACGCCCAAGCCTGTGTCAACATGCAGGCATAGTCGCAACCAAAGTCACAGTCACAGTCACAGTCAGAGTCGCAGTCGGAGTCACATGGTTGCATCATTCTGTTCATTTGTGGCTGGCCCTGAAGCTCTTTGTTCTGGTATTTGTATCTCTATCTAGTTAGTGTGTGCATGTATCCGTATCTGCCAACTATTAGTCCATTTGAAGCTGGCATTGCCATTATGCCTAGCGTACTTCATTGCGCTCTGTTGGCATTTTCCGTTATGCCTTTGCTGTGTTCTGCTTACAAAAAATTCAACAGCAAATCTTGCCCAGCCTTGCTTATATCTGGAATATATATACACAACACCAACCCCCCTCTGGCCATTATATAGACGTATATTTTTTCTGCGTGCTTATTTTTGCACTAGAGTGAACTCAGCTTGTGTCTGGTCGCGCGAAAATTTATGCAAAGAAAGCGAAAAGTGCAAACTAAAGTGCAGCTGCTGAAAGTGCGGCTGCCTTTTGTTTTGGCCGCCCGCTGCTGCTGCTGATGCTGCTGATGCTGATGCTGCTGCTGCAGCTGTCAGGATGGCATCTTCCGGCTCCTGCGGCTGCTTCGCATCCTCTGCTTTCTCAAGTTCCACTAGTAACCCTGGGGTGTGGTATGTGGCCTGGTGGTCGCGTGGCATACAGTTGAGCGGACAATTCTCCGCAGATATCCAGATGCATGGGGGAGGCGGTCGACGTTGGCGCGCTCAGAGTTCAGACTTCACCTACTGCTAAAAAGCTGCAAAACTGAGCAATTCCCGTAATACGAATCTTAGCTACAATGTGTGCATTGTGTTGGAGCCAAGGAAACAAAATATTCAGTGGGTCTCCATGTGTGTGTGTGTGTGTGTGTGTGACCATCATTAACGCATTACACGCGTGTTTGTGCAGCTACTTTGCATATTTTGTTAAAAGAAAAAAACAAGATAAAAAAGCTTTCTTTGCCACGCCGAAGATTAAATACCCTTTTACACAATATAATTTAGAAGAGCAAAGGCTTTAGTGCCGACCGATTTTTATTAGCCATATTATATTATTCCTATATTAACAGGATTCTACTTAAATTGTAGTATGATACAAAGTCAATACAAAGTCGAATTAAACAAACATCTGGTCATGTTATGGACAACTTTTTAAGATTTACTTAAAGTTAGTTAAGGAAGCCTAAATTAGATATGACATCCGTGCAAACCACGATTAAAAAGCATTTCCAAATTCATCCCGCTGATATCTATTATAGTACTATTATTATTTATATAGTTTACATGTGTAGTTGGGAGGATTCATATGTGTTATGTGTAGCCAGTGTCCTCTGTGAAAAGATTCATGCTTTCTAATGGCTGTACAATAACTTGTTCGCATTTCCGTGTGCATACGAGCAAGTCAGGCCAGTCCGGGCATACTATTCAAAACGTTTTGCTTATCCCTTTAATAGCTCGTGTGTTGGCTTTTGCTTTCAGTAAATTCCATAAAGATTTAACCAGAGGAATCTTACAACTTTTGCATTTAGCTCGCATTTCAACTAAACTCCAGCACACAATGCGGTTGCATGCGTTTTAGTTGATTACCAAATGTATTTATTAATAATTTCGGCACAGAGTTATGCGTTTGCCCCAATGCATTTCCCAGCTGTAGCAATTTATTTAATTTCAGACAATTAGAAATTTGATTTAAGCCATGACTTGAAAATGTAAACACTTTAAAATTAAGAATATGCTAACATATTAAATAATCCGAATATGCTAACATATTAAGAATCAGAATAATTGTGCAGCTATCAGTAAGTAAACCTCGCGCTTGGTTATTAAGCATAGAGTAATAAACAGATATCTGAGTGACGGCGCATGCAGGCAATTGCGCTGTTGTACACAGACGTATTGGTTTATAAGCCAATAAATTGCAGCTTGAATAGCAAACCGAAGCTCGTCTAAGCCTTTACAGTTAATTGGAACAATCAACTAATTTTGTTAGTCTTAAGGTCAATTATGAGCCTTTTGAAAGTTGATATTTTCTCATAAAATATTTGAGCATCAGTTAATTGCCTTGCACTAAATGGTTCAGAAGGTAAATGACTTTAACTTAAAGGGTATCTAATAGTTAATATACATATGTATGTGTAGCTGACTTCATGTCAAATTTGTTAAAATTGAGACTACATTTTGAGAATTATCATGATTATACACATTTGATGCGCAGGAGACTGATATTAAATATTCTGCTAGACTCACTCCAACAAATGGACACAAGTAAGAGGTTCTAGTCTATTATTTACCAAAATTGCCCAAAAAAACAGGATATCGATATCGATTTTTATCGATTGCTTGGAAACGGAAACAACCTACATCTAATTTCAAGTTTTTAGCTGTTATAGGCTCTGAGATCCTTGCACTCATACATACGGACAGACAGACAGACGGACATGGCTAGATCGACTCGGCTTTTGGTGCTGATCAAGAATATATATACTTTATGGGTTCGGAGATGCTTCCTTCTGCCTGGTACATACATTTGGAATTTGCACAGATACAATATCCGCTTATACGCATTAATGGGTTCAGGGTATAAAACATATGTTTAGTCTTCGGCGAGTCGACTATAGCTTTACTTTCTTCCTTTTTCTAGTTTTCTCAATTTTGAATCTCTGCAGCTCTGTTAAAAATGAGTTTCCAACTAGTTTACTTTTTTTTTTGCACTCTCTACTAGGGTTTCTTAGTGAAGCGACCATTACTTAACCAAGTGCCAAATTATGCACAGCTGGCAACAGGAAAAACTGAAACAAAATGTAAGAAATACGAAAAATTAATGTTTATTGTGCTTTTAGCACATATACACGTTGGCAGACCCGACCCCAACATTCCGCAAGTAGCTTCTACTTGTATATAAGTATGCACATAAGTATACCCGCCATATATGGTGGGTGTAAATTTACATAAAGGTTGCCACTTGCTGCTGTTACTTTTTTACTTTGGCAGGAAAATTGCATTTCCCTCGAGCACAAGAGCGCAAAAGAGAAGAGCACAAATGTTAATCAGCTAAAAGTCATGAAGGTGATGCTGCGTGGAGATGCAAGGGTCTGGGATAGCATGTTGGCCACTCTGCAGGTACTTTCGCCAGGTGTAAGCGAAAAAAACAAAAATGAAAGAAATGCAAATTTAATTGTATGCCAGCTGAATAAATGGGCATCCGCAAGCCCAACAACACACAATACAACACCAATTTCTCCGGACTATGCTAAATTTAAAGGGCTGCAGGACAGCGTGCTATGCGGCTGCTTTGAGGATAGGATATCAGAGTTGCAATATATTCAAGCATCTGCTAGCCTTTGGATATAGGTATTTACAGATGGCAAAAGTTACTTTCTTCATTCAGCTTTTGCGAGATTTTTAATTTATTTTTGATTTATTGCACGCCCTCTCAGCATAAAGATTACACTCAAATTGTTATTATATGTAGATCGGATGGTTGAGCAATTTAATGTTCACACACAATACTTGCAGCTGACATCAAATCGTATTGCATTTAATTAAAGGCTGACATTGCCTACATAAATCTGACCTGCGGCTGTATTTTTATTATTATTGCTGGAAATCCAATTAAAAGCTCTGGATATTAAAGTAGATTTTTAGCAAGACAAAGGAATTCTCTTGGGGCCTATTCGACTGAACACTGTAAATAAACAAATTTACAAATTCTCGATTTCACGCGAAGTTCAAGTAGCTGCTACTTTCATAATCTGTGCTTGTGGTTTATCTTATTATTATATTCTAAGAATTATTACTTGCTTAAGACGGGGTATTTTGTTTTTTTTCTTCTTAATTTTTGTATCAAAATTGAGTTTGCTTAATAATCTCTATATATGAAACTGTTGGTACTGACTAAATGACTGAATAACTAAATGACCGACTGACTGACTGATTGGTGGCCAATACCGTAAGAGACAGGAACCTGGAACTGTAGTTACTTTATGTGAAGAAGGTGCACGTTAAGATCCGCTCTCGGGAAATTTCACCCGGATATGTAGAAAAGTAGCGAAAAACGTTAGTATTAAATCATTTTTGTTTACCATTCGACCGGCCTTAAACTCATTTTAAGAAATCTGTGCTTAAATTCATTAAAGGGGGTCTTTCTGAAAAATCCATCCCTTCTTGTTGATAAGAGAGGTCAAAGATTTGGGTGGTGACGTTTCGTGCTCAAATTCAATTCAACGGATCTATATGAAAAATCATTTGGGTCGTGTAGAATTTTTGTAGAATCCAAGCTTCCTCGATAGGGGCAGTTTTATAATGTGTCAAATTTGCATTGAATTTTTTTTAACTCTACATCAGAACTTAGTGAATACGTGTTTAGCGATTTGGGAAATTTCACCCGCAATAGCGGTAAATTGGAGGAAAATCATCAATGAAATTCTTTACCGTTTTCAAACTCATTTTCAATGATCTTTGAGAGAATTTATTTTATACTTGACATGGGCACGGCGTTAATATCCGCTGGTTGATTATATAATAATTTTATTTAGCTACCTAATTGGTCATTCACGTTAAAAACTGTTCACGTACGCGTTTCGACGGGCAGTTTACATTTTAATTTTTATATTTTATTTTTTTGCTCATGTGTTAAGCTCTAAATCAAATAATTTTCCCAGGTTAAGGTTAGAGTTTACCTTTGTGAAAATGCCTAATGGCTGTCAACCTGTTTAATATGCTCCTGACTTCTTTGCGAGCATTTGGTTGAAGCTGAACGTGATTGTTGTTGCTATTATTTTCGGGTTTTTCCATGTCAGCAACAGCGGCATTTGAGTAAAGGAACTTTATGGGGATTTTACTTAAAACTTTTCTTTATTTTTTGTTTGTATTTATTTATCAAATAAGGGAAAACCTTTTTTTTTACCCGAATTTATGTCATGATGCCTGCAATATATTTGCTCAGCACAGTGGCCATATTTTCATATTTTATGTCACCTTTACGTTAACCTTGTCCATTTTTCAACCGAATAAGGGTTTCACTTTGTTGTGATATTTGCAATCGTATGTTGGTGTGTTGATTATATGTATGTATGCAACCTATACATACACATACATTAAAGGTGAAACTTTAAACAAACCCGAGAGCAATTCAATGAACGCTCAATTAAACTTTTTGTTTGCCTTGAGCTGACAATCAACATGTTCAGAATTTTTGACGCCGTTTTTATACCCTTGCACAGACTGTTATTAATTTGTCATGAAATGTGTAGCGCATAGTAGGTATATATATTCTTGGTCAGTATCAAAAGCCGAGTCGATATAGTTATGTCCGTCTGTTTGTTTACATGCGAATTAGTCTCTCAGTTTAACAGCGATCCTTATGAAGCTTTGCATCAGTCCCTCTTTCTATTGCACGCAGTACATATGTCGGAACCAGCTGGATTGGATCATATAGCTGCCAAAAGAACGAGCGGTCGAAAATTGAGTTGTTGTATTGGAAACCATTTTGTGTTTTTTAGATATCTTGACCATACCCGGAAACAACTATTTACCCTATGTTTCTTAGAGACGGACAAAGCATTATGAAAGGGTTCGTTCTGCAAGGGTATCAACTCTACAGCAATTTCTATGGTTTACTTAAATGCTAATATAATAAAATAAATATCATGCAAATCGCCAAAACTTTGATGCTAATCCCTGACATAGATTGAAGGAGCTTGATTCGAGCTGTTGAGATGAGCAGGGACATACTCAGCGAACTAACACAAAATATTTTATGGATCGATCTTTCAAGGATCAATTCAAACATAAGTAATATTTTATGCAAATATGTTTACTCTTAATAGCTGCACTTTCCAGTTATTTGCAATTAACCATGCTGCCACAAATGCTTAACTAACTTGATTAGATGCGGGATGAAGCATTCCAAGCATGAAATCTCGAGGTGCAAACGAACAAATAGCCGGCCATTGGGCAAACACACTTGTGATATAACAATTATACTGGCCGAAGCTGGAAAAGCTTGAGGTCAACTTACCCCGTTAATGACTATAAGTCCAACTCAAAGACCGACACCTATCAGACACGCATCTCATCCATTGCTGCCTGTGGCACTTGCTGCTGTTGCTGCAGCTGCGATGCAACCATTGGGTCACCATGGGTGTTCGTCATGTGGCTGTGGGAGTGTCCGTGTATGTGGCCCTTGGAGGAGCTGGGAGCGCTGCTGACGCCGCTGCTGCTGCTGCCGCCCGATGGCGTTTGATCGAGCAGCATATTGCCTCCGGGCCCGTTTGCCGCCATGCCGGTGTTGATGATGCTGCTGGTACTGGTGGTTGTCGTTGTAGATGAGGAGGCGGTGCGCAACGGTGGGCGTGGACCGCGTATATAGTGCGGTTGCATGCCAGTCAACACAGCCCCATTTGCCTGATGTTTGCTAACCTGCTGCTGTTGCTGCTGCTGTTGTTGATATTGTTGTAGTTCTGTAAAAAAGGCAGATAGAGCAGGGAACTTGTAAGCTACTTATGTCGTTGTGCATATGTCGGCATATTAGCAAGCAAATGTTTGCTACCGAGTTGCACGAGGTATCAGCAACAACAGCGCCAGCAAACAGCGCCCATAACAAAAGTCAGTTTGTAAACAAGAGCGTTGAACATAAACTAGTAAGAATGCGTCCCAGTCGGGTGCCTGACTATGAGGTACCTTGGACAAGCGCCGAGCTGCCGTTACAAATATTTTAGATTTATTCTATACCATGTTATGTATGTGCATACGTGATTCTTCTGCCCTTTGGCTTACGTTATGTATGAAAACTGCATTTGTGCTTAACACGGGTATTGAGAGTCTGCTTTTTATGAACATTTCAGCGATTACAAGTTAGGGTTCCTAATCCGTCGAGCGTTATGTTTTAAAATGAGTTTTGGGCGGAGGCATCTAAAAATATATTTTCACTTATCAAGTTTGGTGTATCTAGCACTTCCAATCTCTGAGTTATGGTTAAAAATCGATTTTTGTGGATAGATATCGAAAAAATTATCGACAAAAATGATGGGGGAAAAGGTATTTTAAATTTGAAATGGATTTATTCATATCGTATGACAGACAAATTTGACTAGTGCTACTCAGCTCGTTGACGTGATCAAGAATATATAGTTTATATTTGTTCGGATATGCTTTACTCTTTCTGTTATTCATATCTGCACAAGACCAGCATAGCCTTTTCTCCCATTTTCAATGGGTTGAGGGTATAAACACACAACGACGACATCGTTGTTGTCATCGACATCATCATTGGTTTTTTTGTGCCTTTCAATTGCCAACCAGCTAATGTCCTGCCACCAGCACTTCTGTCCCGCAGCCCTCAATATGTCGTTCAATCCATATAGTGCAAATGTGTGCAGTTATTGACGCTGCTAATATTTTGATGTTTTTCCATACCCCGCGACCGCATGCCATATAATGTGACAATAACCTCTACGCCCAACCTGTAATATGCGGAGTTCTATGTGGGTGTGTCTGTGGGTTAGTTAATTTGTTTGCCTGCACTGCAAATAGAATGCAGTTTTATTGTTGAGCTTGCGAAAATGTCACGCAGTATGACACGTCCTGTCTGTTGATTAACGTAAACGAAAGGCGAACTGTAGCTTCATTAAATTGTTGATTTTAAGCTAAGTCGCAATAATTAGTTGGCTTTGACAATATTGATCTAATGCAGATCTTCTAATGCAGATATTGTTCAAAAGGTGATGTTAAGAAGAATGAGCTTTATTTTGTTTTAACATATTCTAAGATATTGAAGGTTTATAAATAATCCTTATTTTGCAAGCTAGTATTAATACGAGATCAGATAAGAGGCTCTAGGCGTGAGTTGTAATAAAAATAAATTTAAAAACAAGTAAGAGGTTCAACTCGGATTCTCGCGACAAGGTGATACCCTGAACCTTCTTATTCCAACATCAAATGCAGCTCGCGCTAAGCGCTCTTTTGCTTTAGTAGTAATAGAGATAAATTCAACAGACATACATTTAAACAAATACATAGTACCTTTTTTACTCATTTTCAATGGGTTAAGGGTTAAAAAAAGAAAATAAATTTCGCAAAAGCAGGCAAACTATTTACTTCAACTAACAAAATTTAGGCAAGTTGGGCTTTGGCAATTTAAGTACTAAGTGGATGTAATAAGGTTACAGACTGGGCGGCGAGTTGAGCTAAAATGATGTGCCAAAATTATGCCAAAAATTCTCTTAGCATCATGCTTTGATAAAGCATCGAAGCAAGTTGTTTACTTTCATAATATAATAGTGCACGCCACTCAATGGACAAATAAGGCCCGAATAGACCCACCTTAGAGAGCAGTCAAATTAAAGTGAAGAAGTTGGCTTCGTATATCTGGGAAAAGGTGCCCGAAGTGGCCACCAGATTAGAGAAAGATCAAAGTAAGTTGTGGCTCACTTTAAGTAGCGGTCATTTTGCCAAAATCTACACACACGCATACTCGTCCTGCGTAGCAAATTATATGGTCAAAGGAAGTACTAGTTAGAGTAGAAGCCCATGTACAATTTCGTTTTAGGACCCGGTGAGACCTGCCCTAAATTTGGAATATTAAATTAACAACGGTGCGTATACGTAATATTGCGCAATGAAAGCGACCGGCTGTGTGTGGTGTGTAATAAATTTTCAATTTCCATGCATTTTGTTAGTTTTTTGTTGTCCAAAATACGATGAACAGCGCAACGATTCTAATTTGTATGCGCGTCACTTATACGCAATGTTGTACAAATGCACAAATATGACCCGCATGTAATTCCAATGCAAATGCTGTAACAAATGGCCATAATAGAAATGAAAAATATTACAAGCCAACTCCACAATCCGCAATTACGTACTATTTTTTTTTTGCAAAAAGCGCTTTACGTACGTTGATTAGTATGAAATGACAAGGCCTGAAACGCAGCATGCATAACTCGGCTGAAACGGGGCAGCTCTACGCAGCTTCAACATGGGATTCACGACTCAGTTGGCCACTGCACTGGGACGTGGAGTCTGGCACCAGTGGACATTAACTAGTGGCCAATGCGGCATTGTGGCTTTCCAGTTCTAAGTGGTGCGGTACAAGTGCAGCCAATTGTGCATTGCATGTCCTGTGTGTGTGTGTGTGCGAGTATGTGTGCATTAATGACCTCAGTTGTACGCGAATTTATTGCTCAAATTCGGTAATATTTTTTTGCTTTGCTGATTTTTGCCATTTTGTTGGACTTATCAAAAAATTACATGCAATGAGCTGCGTTCTGAATCGAGGGGGTGGACGGAATCTATGTTTGCGCTCCATTTGGTCAACGCGTGCAATTTATTGCCGAACTTTAGGGAAGTGGCCTCCGGAAAAGCTGTGCCTAATGCGCGACATTATACAGGCTCACGAGCTTGAGTTATTGAGTGGTGCGGAGTAGAGTGGAAGAAAATATGATAGCTTTGGTCCTGAGCGACCACATGAATTTGATTTTATTTTATTATATATATAATTTTTTATATCAATCTCGGACAAAATTTATTTCACAATTTTAGTATTACAAAATGCATTGCTAAAAAATGATGCTTAGTCCCAACTAACTTTTTATCTCTGCTCATACTCTAAATTTTTTTTTGCTTTCTCTCTTTCCTTCTCACTATTTTGTGTTGCTTTCATCTGCAAGTTGATAATATTTCAACTCTTGTCTCTTATTAAATAAAATAAGAGAGGTGTTTTTATGTTGCTAAAAGATAAGGTAAAATTCTTTACTTTGGCAACTGCCATTCTAGAAGTATTCGTATGTGTGTGTTTGATTCGATTGTTGATAAAGGGCATTCAGTTATTTAAAACGCACATTCAGCATAGGCCATAACCATCTAATGACACTCCAATTTTGTATCGTTTAATCTGGGAGTGGACTGTCTAAATTCAATAAGAGCGGCAGCTGTACAAATGACTCTGTGCCAGCTCAGATTAGCATTCAATTTAAAGCTTATCAATCACACAGTTGACTGACCTGGCCGAATTAATACAACAACATAAACGCTGAAAACTAGTGCAAGTTGGCAGTAAAATGTGCGTAGTAAATCAGTCAGGCAAGCTACTGCGTGGGAAGGGGAAGTTGGAACGTTGCAAAAGTGCAAAAAGTCTATTTTTCAAAACTCCATGTGAAGAAATCAAACGGATATCGAAGAAAATTTATGTGCGTCTATTTAGCTTTGAGCCGAGCAAGAGCGAACAAATATTAAGTATACGCAGTGTGAAGTGTGCCAATCCAAGCGTGTGAGTGTGTGAGTGCGTGTGTGTGTGCCTGTGTTGGCACGGGTGAGCTAGTAAGCAGCACAATTAAATTGGATTTATGTTGCGCGTGAACACAAAATGAAGTTAATGTGCATACCAATATAAGAATCCAAAGAGCCGGACTCTGCGAACGGCGAACTGGTCGCCAGAATAAGAAAAATGATTGTTGAACTTTTTTAGTGCTCAAAAATCGTACCTTGTTTGTCATGTCATCAATAAATGACATATTGAACGAGCAGCGACAGACACTGGGGCGAAAGCAAATTGAATGAGCAAATTAAAAATAAATGGAAAAGTAATATACGAGAGCATTATTCTAAGGAAATGCCAAGCCATTCGAAGTCTGCACGCCCAACTGGACATATTTTTCTTATAAGCTGTAGCAGCTACAACGACGGAAAAAACTGAGCAGTGAAGCGCGTCAATGAAATATTTATGAGCTCCACCATGTAGATTTATGTATGTTGCCGGAGCGTCCGAGCTGGGAGCGAATTGAAAAATATATTGGCTGGACTTGCCGTTGGGCTTCGCTGTGCCATTTGGGTTAAAGTTGCTTAAGTAAGGTTCAAGCTAAGTTTTACGCTTTATGGAATACTTAATGCGACGAAGGCTGAACAAGTTTTTGATTAACTGTTGCCAAACCTGGCAACAAATTTGAAACTCTTTATTAACACAATAATTCAGAAGAAATATATTATGTATGAAACAAGGTAAGCTGTTAAGATTCAATTGTATTTCAGTTTTCAATGTAATTTAATGCACAGCTATATAAAATGTTACTTTATAAATAAGCTTTTTAGATGCTTTAGAAGGTTTAAAAAGGCTAGAAGGTTAAAAAAGAAAGCGCAGTTTATTTATATAAATTCAATTTTGGTAAATTTTGATTTTCATGATCTACTAATTAAATCTTACCTAATAGCAGATAAGACTTAGATTAATTTAGCTCTACCTATTTTTCTATCTTCCCCTACATATTTTATCATCAAGCTCTATGGTTCTCCTAATCTTCATGCATCTCATACATCTTCGTAATTAAATCTTTATTTCCTTGTCGTTTTTTTCTGCTTAAAAACTAGTTTTAATAAATGCTTATTGTATTGAATTAAAATTAGCATACAAAACTAATAACATTATTATTTTATTCTCGTTGAAAGGCATTTCGACTTTTGAAAAAAA